TATATGATTAGCTTAAACTATAATTGTGTATTTATCTCTTTCTGCCTGTCTATCTACCTATTTATCTCTATTGTATGCATGCAAGCTAGTATTGCCTATTATAACCTGGTCTTAGCCTGAAATAGAAAATAACTACTAGTAATAAGTTACAAATACAGTACCTATTTTCATAGCACTGAGTAAACTATGATTTTCAATTTCTGAATCCCTAGACCCATGTAACTCCACTTTTGTACTCATGATTTTCTGAGATCAAGAATAACCTTGATGCAGAGAGGATCAAATTTGATAGAATATATACCTATATTATGTAATCTCATTATTTGCACAATATTCTTTTTTCTCATTGCTCTACTCTCAGTCTTCTAAAGATATCAATTTGTCATGGCTTCTCGGCCTTTTGGCTAAGATCAAGAGATATCAATTTGTGAGATTATTTTATCCTAACAGATAGCAAAAGAGAAATCTACTTACAGCCAATCAACATGACACAAATGGAAAAGATTTTCTCCGAATTGGTGTTAGGAGACACATTTCCAAATCCTACACTGGTTAAACTGCTGAAGGTAAAATAAAGTGCTGTGACGTATTTGTCTTTAATGGATGGTCCAGAACTGGAGTCACTGTCATTGTAACGTTTCCCAATTTGTTGTCCTAAGGAATCCAACCATCCAATTTTGTCTGTCAGATATGGCCTTTCTACATTCCCAATTGCATACCAAATGCAAGCCAACCAGTGAGCAATCAGGGCAAATATGCACATTAAGAGCATGAGAACAGCAGCGCCATATTCTGAATATCGATCCAGTTTCCGGGCCACTCGCACAAGACGAAGGAGTCGAGCAGTCTTCAAAAGACCAATTAATGTGGTTGTCTGTTAAAATAAATGTTCATGGTTAGAGACAGTTGGTGAACAATTCAAAATATGTTCCTGTAAAGCAGAGTTGGTTAGAAACAGGTTAAAAAATTATTGTAGAATTGAGATAACTGTATATTTAGATTAAGTATTAAAGTTAGTTCTTTTTAAAAAATTAAATATGCTTTCAAAAATACTTTGAAAGTATATGATATATTAATTCAGTATTCTGACATGCAAGAAAGATGGGACATAAAATCTTAGTTTTAATCAAGTGCTTTGCAATAATGTGTACTCAGTAATTCATTAACTAACAAATGTTTCAGTGTGTTGTTACATGCCTACAAAATAGTACACACTAGGTTTTAGTATTGGACAGAAATGCTACCTTTTCTAATAGAGTTACTTTATAGACAATGTGTCTTCTCTAATGAAAAGAAACAAGGTCTTCTATCAGATAGGATATATGTTTCAAAAGAATAAACAATGTGAGAGTGAAAAATATGATGGTGATGTTAAACAGAATATAAGCACAGAGGGTGTTTGGGAGCATGGCTTGTGGTAGAGACCTCTTTAGAAAGGAAGCCCAAGAAAGACCTTGCTGATGAGGCCAAATGTGAGCAAGAAAGGCCTGAATAATGAGAAGAGGCCAGTCAAGCTGTTTCTTCTGCAGTGATGGGAACATTTATTGGATAATTGCAGGCATGAATTACTCTGTATATTTAAATGCTTTTTTTTGGTTTTCTTCCTAAATGTGTTAAATTGATAAGTTGTTTCTTGGTATACCAATGATAATTGTCTTTTCCCTTGAACTAATTGCATGATTATTACTGACCAGGTATCTAATGACAGAGTACTTTCATATAATAACAGGATACTTAAATGTATTTGGACTCGAAATCTGGTAAGTACAAATTACAAGTTCATTTCTTATGTTTCCTAAATAATGTCAACTATAAGTACTCTATAATTCACAGGGCATATAATTATTCTATAGTTAACATGGTGTTTACCAATCAATTATTGTGTCATTTTATCTCTTCATTGCTGGTATTTATTTCACAAAGTACATCCAACTTTGTTCAGAACACGTATCTCTTAATCAAAGAAATAGTACATGGAATAATGATGGCTTCATATCTGTTAGTATTGACTTTGTAAAAAAACAAGCTCTAAATGTCAAGAGAAGTGTTTTCATTAAAACATTATAATGCTTTAGTTTGTTTGTTTCTTGTGCGACATGAAAAGAAGGATTCCTTGGTTATTCTTGGATTCTTTATTGTAAGACTGGAACACTCTCACAATGACAAAAGTTTGTTTAGTTGAGGCAGGCTTATCATAACTAGATTCTGAACTTTAATCATTTTTGGTTATGTAGAGAGTAGTGAATCTTTTCTGTCCCCAATGCTCATTTATTATTTTTTAGAATGCAATAAATGTATTTTTTCCTTCAGAGGTTTAAAAATATATTTCCTCTCAAGAAATGATGACAAGTTTAAAATAGTATAAAGTGGTAATCTAGAAAGTAAACACACTTTCCACTATTTATCTTATCCATATTTTAGCTTAGCAGTTATGTGCTAGGACTTTGGAGCAGATAAAGTTACAGTTGAATTCTGTTTCCAAACCAGTATGTAACCTTGGACAAATAATCCATGTAATCTCAAGCTTCAGTATCTATCTGTAAGCATGAATAACAATCTCTATCTTACAGAGTGGTAGATAATCCTAGTAAATAGTAGATCCTGTTTCTATTTAAATACACTTTACATTTCTCTATCTGTTAATAGGAGGAGATACTATGTTTTAAAATAGGTTGATTGAAACTTTCCAATATATGCCTCAGACATATGGAATCCCAGGTGGAGGCCTTTCCTAGAGGCCAGGCAGCCCACTCAGCGAAATGACCAAGATTTTGTTGAGAAGAACTTTGTCCAGGTGCCTCAGACGCTGATAATGGGAATCCCCACTGTCAATATTTCACCATTTTTACACACCTTATAGTCCTGTGTTTATTTTCCCTCCTAACTCTGCTACCTTTTTACTTGTGTTAAGAAATCACAAATATCTGAATGACATTGTTGAAATCCTCGTATTATTATTTGTTTTGAGAGAAAATTTCTCAAAACAAAGGAAATATAAAGCAAATTCTATAGTTAGTTGGCAAATAAATTGAAATACTTCCAAGTAAGTGAGTTCTTTCTATAACATATTGTGAAAATGAGTACTTCTGGCTGCAAAAATAATAGAGTAAAATTATGTTATAAAAAGGAAAGAAAAACAAATCTGTTGTGCGTGCCACACTCCTTCCCCCCTCCCTTGTCTGACTTTTCCTAGTATTATGTCAAAATAAAGATAAAATTTAAATGATAGTAAATCCTTTAAGCAGATAAATCAATACAATTTACACAATAACATACAAATGATCTCTACTCTGAAGAAAAATAAGTGGTACATGATAAATTCTCAAAACAATTGACATAATTCATACATAATAATTATAAAAGCAATAAAAGAAAAGGGAAGGAAAGAGAGCAGAGAAGAAATTACAAGGATGTTGTTATACTTCTCAGTTATATTATAAGGTAAGGATGGATGAATACTTTCAACAAAGTCATTTTTTGTGTGGTTTTGTAACATGTACCTAAGCATAACTGTATATGTTGGTTCAACAATGTAATGAATGCCTTGGCCTTATTTCTACTGTTATCAGAATACTACTAACACATTTGGATATTCTTTGTCAGTGACAGTTGTGACACCACAGCTTGTAGATGATGGTTAGGGTTACATTAATTATTTTATTTTTCTTCTTCAAACGTCTGTTAAAGACCTAAGATGTTTTAACCTATTGTAGAATGGGGAGAATAGACTAAAGAATTATCAATATCCTCTTGCTGAGTTGGTCACAATTTGCCCTCATTTTTCAGTTTATTGGTCTATCTTTGTATTACCTGCAAGTGAAAAAATGCCACCAACAACTAACATAATGTTGTGCTAAGATCAGAATTTGACTGAAGAGAGAGAATTTAAGAATGCATAGTTATCTCATAGCATTATTTTCATATAATGTCTAAATATGTATAGAGATCTTTCTGGTTTTTAATTTTTGAGAATATAATAAGTTAAAATATCCATGAACCCATTCATAACTATTTGAAAACAGCAGCAGCAAAGCATTTTCTCTTAGATGTTATTTTTTGAGATTTTAATTGGTATCAGAAAAATATTGTCTACTAGTAATTACTTTTGGTAGAGACTTTAAAATCTATAATGAACTCTTAACATGTGAAGTCTCTTCCTGTACCCATTCCATCTCAGATCTCAGCTCATTTTTTGTGATTGAATATTTCCAATTCTTTTGGTCAGAATGTCACAGTAAAAAAAATTTTTTTTCCCTTATTTAAGACTTTTGTTTTTAATGCTTTTTAAATATTTTTTAAAATTTAAAGAATCTTCTAGAAATCCAGTTATCCATATTTCTTGTGGTCAATGAATATCATTTAAAACATCCACATCCATTGCTTATTAAAAGCCACACATACCTTTTTATATTGAGGTAGAAGTCAGTTTCCCTTATTAAGTTTGTGACCTTCTCGACTATATATGCACTTGTAGCTTTGTAAATATATTAGATGGTAGACCACACTTAAAATGACTATGCCAAGCTCTTCATTAGATATTCTACAATAAATCAGGCAATATTCTCTCCTAATGCAAGTTGAATTCTTTTTGAAGGCCTGATACTAGCTAATTTCTTATCAGTATTAAAAATTATCTATTTAAGAATAAATTCAGCTACCATTAAATTGAGAAAGTCCTATATTCAAAAATTATAAAAATGATTCTATTTTTAGTCATTATTTTCAAGAATTTTACCTTTAAAGCACCTTGTGTTTTTCCTATGCTGGATATCAAACCCAGGGCCTCACATATACTGTACTAGATAAAAGCCCTACCACTTAGTTACAACTCTAGTACCTTAAAATACATTATTTCAGAAGCTTACTCTTTAAAATCTTTGCCTATAGGTAAGTGATATAATTATTCTTTTATAAACTAGGAAATATGAATATGTGTTCTTTGGTTTCATTTACAGAGTTGATAGAATAAATCATCATTGCAACTTTGTACTTAATCCATCATTCTATCCTATTTGTCAAGAAATATTTGGGTGTAAATGGAAAAATATATAACATATGTAATAAATTTCATGACACCATGATGATTTTTTGCTTTAAGTTTTATTTTAGCTAATTCCTTCTTAGCTAAATGAAACAATCATTATTTTATTATTTACAGAATAAAATTCAATAATATGAAAAATAGTGTCTTATCAGTGCAATACTATTTCTATATTTCCAAAGATACATTCACTAATATAATCAAACAGCTATATTTTGAATGCATATGGAATCTTGGGAAATTATCTGGTGTCTCATTTCTTTATAGATACCAAATATAATGATTACTTCCACAAAGTATGATTTTTAAAGAGGAGATTTTACAATCTCATTGGGAAAAACCTTCTAAAATTAAGTAACTTTTTCTATCTAGACATTTGCTTTTATTTTGTTTCATAATTGACATTCTATTGTCTTTTTATCTGAATTCACTTTTTCTTTACAGTAACATTGAAAACTGGTCATCAAATTGAATCACAGAGGGCAGATGTTACCTCAAGTAAACAACTATAGATACTATACTTTTTTAAATTGGAATTTAACTTTGGAGAAAATTATACCTCATGCCATCTCAATCAATCGATCATATATAAATGATGAATAAATGAGCAAATTAGAGCAAAGTAATTTCTCTAATTGTAGATCCTGTGTCTTTCCCTTGTCATGCCAGAGTTTTACAAGCACAATCAAAGCTCCGAGTACAAGCCAATGGAAACTTTTGTCAAATATAAGTCAAGGGCTATCTAAAGAGAGAGAGAGAGATACTTTAATGTAGACTTATATACATGTACATGTCTTCAAAAAGTGATTTATTATTTAAAGTTGAAAATAGAT